CGTTACGGACAACATACTTGGTGCATAACTTAAGTTGCCTGCAAATCCGATTGCAACTAAAATCCAATTTTCATGGAAAACAAGGAACAATATTCAGTACAGTAGCTTCTTTGGTCTCGGTAACACAATATTTGCAATGGATGAAAACCTTAATAATAATATTAATATCGATGAATTTAGGATGATCAGAATGCCAGGGGAGAGACTCTTTTGGCAAAGCCTCATAAGGAAGAAGTCCAAGAACCAGACTGAAGGCCAGATGGTTTGATTCTATTCAGTGCATGGCTTCTTTCTGTGTTCGAATTCTGTCTATGGAGCTTGTCCATACTCCATGCTGAAGAAACCTCAGAATTTTCTATAGCCTGAAAGAAATTTGGGTCTTCTAAAATGAATGAGAAGTTTATGGAAATTATCAGATGCAAGCACACGCGTGGGATAGCCAATTACGAATGAACCGCATATCAACTTTTTACTTCACGTTCATGCGTTGGTGGTCATACTGAAGAAATGGCATAAAGCACGGTTTACTTATATTTAAACCTGCTGGCCCCAAAACTTTTGGCTACTGCGGGCGACCAACCACATAACTTCACCGCCACCCTACCTTGAAGAAGGTCTCGAAACACGGGCTGAAACGTCGGTATCGGTAGTCATTGGATTGATCACAGTATCTTTCGCATTTGCATTTGCTTTCGCATACGCATGTGCATAAGTTAACCATGTTTTACGATATTTTTTCAGTTTCAACCTCACTTCGCATATTCCCTAGTCGAGGTTCTTTGTTGAGCCGGGTCCAAATGTTGCTTTTTTGTTTGAGTTTCACGAGATTTCGGTCAGAAAAGAATGATCCAGTCTTCTCATCGATTTTTTAATCATGCGTTTCAGTTTGATGGCATGCAAATGAGAATCGATTTTTGAGCATTAAATATATGCTTTCCTCTGATGAACGCAAGTCTGTCAGAGTATGGCGACTGTGAGGTAAAACGCTGATAGGTTTTAAATGCCTCTGAATGTTAAGCTTGCAGTTTTTAGTAAGGCGTCAATTTATTCGAGTGCGGCGTTGTTTAGCTGCAATGGAGGAACACATGCGTCCGCTAGCTGAATCAGTGCAGCTAGCATCGTCATCGTCGGTTTCAGGACGACGTCAAACGGGTCAGCCGGAGGAAAACAATTACGGCGTTCGGCGTTTGTTCGGTAAGTTCAAAATGAGGTATAATGAACGGGCGACTGAAGCGTACACCGTTAGCCGTTGCTCGTTTTCAACTCTCGTTTCGATTTCCAATTTCCTGCCTCGGATTCGACCATCGTCGAACCGTTTCCGTCTGCTCGCAATGCTCGACATTCACCTCGCTGGACTTCTGAGACCGGATATTCGGCCACAAAGGAAATTGTACCTCTCCGGCGAGGCTCAGTGACCAGCTGTTACGAAGTGCGACCCTGCTGCTTGTCTTGCGCCCTCGCTGCAAACTGTGAAACATTTCGTATTTCTTCCGAGTAACGGTAAGGCGTTGTTAGCTTGGGGTACATGGTCAGTGGAAGTAAGTTGAGGAAAGCGACGTGAGAGGACGGCGATGAATCGACGAAAACCACCCTCCCGCTTCTTAAAATCGACGAGGACTTCGTGAACAGCTAAGAATTGATTTTTGAAACGTTTCGTAAACACCACCATTAAAGAGGAACTAACATTGGGGTAAAGATGACGATTGCACGAAAGACATTATGAAGAAGAGGTAAGACGGATTTTGGAAAATTCGATGGCAGTGCCATGAGGCGAAAAATAACGCTTCATAATGCAGCGTGGAAAAATAATTATTGGGAATAACACAAGGGATCGGAAGACAGGATAGAAAAAGAGTCAAATGGATAAAGGCACAAACAGGAATTTGTGATATCATTGCACGAGTGAAAAAGTTAAAGTGACAACAGACACCAAACGCTGCAAGAATGACCAGAGAGAGTATACGACCCAGAGCAAGACCTCCAGATCGATAGCAGGATGAGGAGAAGAAGTTCGACGGATCAAGATGGGCAAAAACGGTAAATCAAAAAATCTACGGTAAACTCTTGAAAAGACCTTCATTTAGCAGTGGATCGAGAAAGCTGATTATGAAATGGGGACAACATCATACTCTAAATTTAAGTTAATGTTACCTATGTATGTTTCAGAAATCGAAGTCATCCGCACTTATCAATTCAACAGTGGATGAATTCCCCACTGAGACATTGCTATGAAGGTAATCACTCATATCCTACATGTGTGTTAGTCTGAAACCTTAAGAATCCATCTTGTGACTGGCCTTTGCTCCTGTCCATTATCGTGTGTTTAGAAGTGTCATATCGTGCAAACTCCAACAGGTTGAGGCGGTAGCAGACCTTCACTGGTCAACGATATCTGTCCGTAACCAAATCTTCATAAAATGCTTCACTTCTCTGAATCCGCAGCGCTTGATGAAGGTTTGAGACGAGCTGGCAATAATTCACGAAGGTTGGCAATCTGGATGGTTGTATTTTGTTCACCTTGAATTGTTTCCATAAGCAGAATGTTTCTGATTTTTTATATCTATCGTATTCGCAGCTTTGCAACACTTCTGCTATAAGGCACCGGTTACTGCATTGTAGGAGGAAATATTACTCTCTGACAGCAGATCTGTTTCTACCTTGTTCTTCCATGTTGCATGCTGATCTCCTGGTCGATGTTAGCCGTGTTTCAGCAGCTACATGAGACACTCGCTGACTGTAGTCAATGGCTAACGTTCAGCCAATTTTGTCTACCAGGGCTAGTCTGTTTGTCCTGACCTTCACATCAACCGCAGACACTCCAGTCCGGAAGAAGACAGCCTCCTCAGTTATGTGGTCTCACCAATTATCGCTTATTACCCACAGAAGCCAACGCCGCTGCACTCAGTTCACTCGTCGTTTTTGCTCCTTCGTTAGGACAAGTGTCTCCCTGACAGAGTCAAGGACCAGGCGAACTTTCGTCGAAAAACAAACTTCTTTCTCAGGCCAATACTGTACAGGTTTTTTGAAACAATCGAGGCTAGTGTGATCTGTCCATTTAACTCTGAATGGATGGTAACATCGCTGAAGATGATAAAGACGAGATACTTAAATTGGTCCACATCTTCAAGCACTTAACCTTCCTGCTCCACCTGCTCATTAGCTGTCAACTGTGTGAGATTGATTTCTCATGATCACTGACTACCGGGCGTTAAGGAAGAGGCCGGCTTTCGCAGGTGTGCCACATACAGAATTCATCATGTGGCAGATCCATTGCCCCGTACCACTCACCAGGACAATGTAATCTGCGTAATCCAGGTGAGCAATGT